AAGAAAACGGCAACCCCTGCCCAGGTCTTCGACGAGGCAGATGAGGAGATCCTCATGTGGGTCCATGCAGGAATTCTTGAGGCCAACGAGGAAGCCACCCGGGAGGGAAGGCCGATGCCCACTGCTTTCACTGATGAAGAGATCAGCTCCATCGTCCCAATTGACCCTTCGATCGAGGACTACGAAACCGAAGAAGTCAGGGCCCGACAATACCTTCAAGAAGATTTGAATCAGGCCGTTGCTGATGGTTTCTCAACTACAACCATTGAGTCGATCGAGATCAATCCGGAGAACACCGATGTCGATGACGATGTTGAAGTCGTTCCCGAGTTTGATGAGTGGGACGTGATCCTTGATGAGAAGATCATTGTCAATCCCCATGACGAGAAGGTCAAGGAAGATGAAATCTCGGAGGAAAGAGCCAAGGAGGTTGAAGATCTCAACAAGATCATCGAGATCACATCCGCTGAGGCAAAGCCTTCGGGAACGTCGGCCGATGACCCTGCTGCTGCAAAAGATGCACCCGCAAAGGCTGACCAAGGAGGGGAAGACATGACTTCATCGAGGGTTTCAACTTGGAGTGTGGTTGGTGGTGATGAATCCAAGCCCAGCGACATGACTTCTTCCAGGATCTCAACTTGGACCGAGGTTGGTGGATCTGAAGCCACTGCCATGGACGTTGACTCTGAGAAGAAGGAAGGTGCTGATGCTGCCCGGGAGGGTGTGCCGACTGATGCTGCAGTTCCTGAGGCTTCTGCTTCTTCCGAACAGCCTGCTGACAAGACTGCCATTGTCGACCTGACCAAGACCGAGAAGAAGGTGGAGGTTGACAAGCCAGTTGGAAAGCCGGCCGAAAAGAAAATGCCGAAGAGTGAAAAGCAAAAGGCACCAGAGTCAAAAGCGCAGCCCAGACAGAAAGCGCCGCGACTCAGTGTCGAAGCTGATGCAGCCCTTCGCAAATTGGAAGAAGCGACGGAACGCCAAGAGGGATCAGTATGGTTGGACCCCAATGACATGATCAACAGGATTCCCAAGGAGTATTGCGGCCAAGGGCGACTGAGATTTCTTTCCACAAAGTTATCTTATGTTCTCCGAGGGCACGCATTGAGCTATGGTGCTCGCAGCCCAGACATCGATCCCATGGATCTTTCGATGGATTTCGAGGCGGTGATGAAGACGATGGCCCACTACGTCTCCTACCCGAAGATCAGTGAGGTCCTGTCCATCGTGCGCAACAGTGACACCAGGCGCTTTCAGGTGAAAGTGGCTCAGCCCGATTTGCCTGATGCAACCTGGAAGGGTTTGCCATGGAAGGTTGTCGCCATCAGAGCTGTCCAAGGACACAACCGTGCAGTGGTGGAAAATGCCAAAATTTCATCGCTGGTGAAGGAAGTGTTTACTTTGGATCCAACCTTTACCAAGGCCGACCTCGACACGCCCAAGTTGCCAAGGACAAATCTTCGTCCAGACCTTGTGCCGGAGATGCTGGCTGCACTTCCAAGGGTTATCTACCATAGCTGCGACAGGCTCGCTATGGACAAGATAGTTGAACATGGTCTCATCCCAGGTGGCTGGCCCCAAAGGACAGGGGCGCATAATTTCTTTATTGCGTCACATCCATGGGATGATTCAGTCGGTGGCAGAAAGCTCGCGGGAACGCGAGCCGGGAAGCAATACTACATTGCCTTTGACACCGAGCTCATCGTCCAAAGCGGCTGCCGATTGTTTCGTACAGACGAAGCAATCATAAGCCCTGACTGGATCTCCAACGAGAACATCATTTGCACATATGATGCTGTCAACAGGGAGTTTGCCTGGGTGAATCGCCCCTATGAGATCACGCGTGTGGGGTACAACAACAAAATGAAGACCCACAAGGACCAGGACACTCCGAAGAGAGAAGCACTGTCAAAGAGCCCGTATGCCAACGCCAGGGACAGTTTGAAGGCCTACCTCATGAGCGGCAAGTCCATTCGACCCGGCCAGATGCAGGTGACCGACTCTCCAGAAGAGCTTCCCCCACTTCTTCGTCGACGTGAAGGAACTTCAGGACCCTTTGAGGACAGAGTGACGTTGAAGATGGCCTCCTTTGGTGCCTTGTCCAATGCCGAAACCATTCGCAAAGGCAAGGGCCGGGGAAAAGGCAATGGAAAAGGAAGCCGCCCGGGAGGGCAGGCCCAGCGCTCAACAAATGCTGAGGATTACATCTACAGCTCAAAGATTGAGATGCAACAGGTCCGATGCCACTTCTGCGGCGAACAGAACATTGAGGGCACCCACAAATGTCAGTCGTGCTTCAAATGGCTGATTGCTTGGTCGGATGGAAGAATTGCGACGGAGGTATGCCGGATGGAAATCTCGGCCAAGAAAACCAACAAGGTATTTTCTCTGGACAAAATCGATTTTGAGAAGCAGCCTCGAGCTCAGCGAGTCTCCGACCGCACCCGAGCAGATCAACGTCGAGCTGGACGAAGCAATTTCGGAAATCTCAAGGACGCTGCTCAGACACATGCGGGAAGATACACGAAGCTCGGCTTCAAGTCGATCCAGGACCGCATGGAGAAGGACCCATTTTATTTGTTCAACAATGCGGTCGGCCAGATCACTCCCGACTGTTGCCAATTTTTGGAGGACTTGGCAAAATGCATTGCCCCTGATGTCGGCCGTACCCGAGAGAAGCGAGAAAAGCAGCTGGGAACAGGTGTCAGCACTCGTTTGATTTTCATGCCAGACTTCAACAGAGACATCCGACTTCCGTTGGACGTTACAAAGGAAGCCATGGTTGCACATCATGCACGAGTTTTTACACTCCCACAATTTGCTGTTCTTGCTGCGGACTTGCTGAAAGCGAGGGGGGAACCCACGCCGATGTTGTTTGGTTGGTCTGGCTCAATGATGCCTGTGGACCAAGGGTCAGCCCAAGATTGTTTCTTTGACCTCGTCGATTTCGCGAAGAGGCAGTGGAAGGAACAATACAACAACATCAAAGGTGAAGAACACTCCTTCGTGGATGAAGCCACTGCATCAGATGTGGCTGATTTTCCATTGGCAAGGTCCTCCAAGACGGGTACGGGCGAAGGGCGAGAAGGATACCGGCGTCATTTTGACCCGATTCAGAAGCCAGCCAAGGGCAAAGGCAAGGGCTATGGTCATCAACAGCGACCAATCTTTCAGCAGGCTATTGAGTGCTGGAAGTGCGGTCAGTATGGCCACAAATCCTTTGAATGCCGCAGTGGATGGAACCGAGGGCAACAGTGGGGTTCGTATGGATCTTACTCAAGCCGCTCGGGAGGGCAGGCCCAATGGCAAAGCTGGAATTGGAATCAGGGCTACTCTGGCAGAGGATGGACTGCTGATCCTTGGGGAAGATCTACAGCATCAAGCTCCTCAGCAGCTCCTCCGGAGCCAGTGCGGCCACCTTCGACAGCGACGCCTGTGCCTGACACAATTCCTGCTGCTGGCGACCCTGCCCAAGCAGCCTCTGGATCAGCTCCTGCAGCAGAGCCTCCACAGCAAGTGCCGAGGATGCCGCTCGTGATTGCTGAGGAGTACTGCGAGATCAACGGCCAGCCGCACTTCAAGCGCACCTACAATGATGGGACGGTAGAGTTTGAGTCGTGGTAGATGTTTCACATCTTGTGCCATGATTTTATGCCTACCGGAAGGTTTGGCCGATTGGATTAAAGCTGACCCATGGTCATTCAGTTCAATCGAAATGCACACAACATGAAATTCCAACTTGATTAACTTGAAAACTTTTCCCAATTGCTTCACAAAGACATTGACACCAGCATCCGATCCATCGCGGTAGTTGCACGTGTACAGACGCCGTGTAGATTAGCCTGATATAGCTGTTTCCGAAACCAATGGCAAGATAAAGGAGTGGTAAAGCTCCTATGCCTTGGCGGAAGCCACGCCAATCTCGCTTTTGCCTCTGTCTGAATTGTGCGTTACCCCGGATTGAAAATGCATTGCATCCGTATCTCTATTTCTGCCTCATGCATTCGAGCATAGACCAAGCCCACACAACATGATGATAAATGGTTTGTACAGTGATGTCCGCTTTGCCCGCTCTCAGGTCACATCTGGCGGGCTACTCCTTCCGACCTCCGCGCAACTGCGGACGGCGGGGGGTGTTTTTAGTGCATATCCCTGTACATACTCACGTAATTCATCTTATACGTTGTGTTCATGGCTCAAGCAAAACAAGCGCGTTTGCTGATGCATTCAGGTTGTTTAACCTGTCAAACAGTGGTAAACCCAACAATCAACCGAATCAACAATCATTCAATCCCCAATTTTACCGGAAATAGGTGAATTGACGATTCGTCCAAGGTTCTCACTGTACTAATTTGGAGAGCACTGGATATCTTGGAAAATCTTGGGACGATCCAAGTGACCCGCTCATCACCGCCGACTTTCAGGGATGAAGGGACCCACATGTCACGAGAAGTCTGCGATGTTTATGGGTCAAAATTAGGCACCTCCAAAATGCAGTATTTAGCGACATTTAACGACTATATATATATATATATTCACACAATCTAGCAATAATATAGCACACGAATCACAATTTATCGGACAATGATATAATTGTGGCCGAGGTTTCCCTATACCGTGGTGGTGTGACCGTCTTCGCTGCTTGCGATCCCAATCAGTGACCTGAAGTGCAGTTGGGAGCGGGTCTTGTGCCAGACCTGGGCTGTTGTGAAACTTGGGGGGTACCACATGAGTAGCAGATGAACTCACGATTTTTTTGAGGGTAATTGCCCGAATCAACCAAGGTGTATTAAGTTGGGGTTGACATTATGTCATTATGTGTCAAAGTTGGGGATTGTACCCCAAGAGAGGCTGCTGGGCTGTGCCAAGCCTGCGGGTATAGCACCACATTTTTCAATATTGGATGAGGGAGAATTTTGGATAACATCGCGGGAAAACGAGAGCAAATCACTCTTAAATCAATCCAAGAACTTCTATGTTGCCATGCGGCTCCAGCGGACATGTTGGGCCCCAGCCCATGTGAACTGCCACATGCAGAGGCACTGCACTGACCGGCCTGAATGCATGCTTTGGGGACAAAACATGTTAGGGTTCCAAGTTCCTCCCCCCTACAATCGTCAATTTCTCAAACTTCCTGTCACAAATTTGACTTGTTGGGATCCCCAAGGATCCCCACGTTGTTGGCGATTCAGGAGGTCCTTTTGTCCGGGGATCTCTGATTCGCTGCTCCGTCAGATGCGTGGCGCGGGGCTTCATGTGTCCTGGCCTCGTGACAAGGCCCAGTGGGTCAGGGGGATGAAGGAATTTTGCACCTTGGGATCTACAGATGCTGGCTATTTTTTGGTACGAATCGTTGCGCCTTTCTGTTTGTGGTATCCAAGTTGACTCATACGTGTTTGTCTTGGTATGTTCGCCATGCAATTGGGATATCGCACAACACAGAAAACCAATATTTGGGAGTATCATACAATATCATTGCATGGGTAAAATCAGGGATGCCCTGACAATTGCTTTCCGCAATCCAAACAGACAATTTTGAACACTTTTGGATGACTTGGGAGCCTTCCATTTTTGGACTCAGTCGGCATCACTGGCCAGGCTGAAAAGGCATGCCTGCAGCGCAAATTGCAGCCGCTAGCATTGCCCGTGCGACCCTTGGTTGTGCCGACGAGTGAACCATGGATGGAAATCTGATCATACAGCGTACGGAGATTGGGACGGTTGAGGAATCTAAGCGGTGGATTAGCAAATTCTGACAATCGAACAAGGCAGTGAAATATTCTTTGTTTCTAGATTTGATTATTGAAATTGGCAATTTCCAATTACCATCTTTCTTCACCAGCAGGTATTTGGACGTTCACCTTACATGATGAATTAAACCAACAGCTATAGAGACCTAGATGGCTTTCACCAGGAAACATGGCGATTGGGTACCCTTCAGCCACTTTACTACTAACAAGAAATGGGGATTTAAATAGATATCGAGAGGACAATCTCTTCAAAAACTGATCATCTGGGATGGTAGTCCACCCATGATTTGTAGTATGGCTCCCAAAAAACCTCCAAAATCCATCAAAATCCCATGGTTGATGACTTGATAAGCCATCAAAATATATCAAAATCCCATAAGTCCCATGGTTTCTGCTGGTTGATGACCATATATGGCTATGGATCAATACCTATACATACCATTTTTAGGGGATGAACATCCATAAATCCCAGCTATTTTGATGTTCACCAGGGGTACCAGGTTTTGACACACTGCCATATATCACCATTTTCCCATGATTTTCACCTCCTAAAATGGCCATATCTCCCCCACAACCCTCATCTCCAAGGCGCACGCGACAGATGGCCGTGCTGCCGTAGAGCTGGACACCTTCGTGCCGTGCGGCTTTCCCGGTGATGACTTGGGGATGGTGATCCCACTGGTGCCAGGTGGATCCCAGAAAGTCCCGAAAATGTCATGGCAATTTTTGGACATAGAGGAAGTTTTCGAAATGGGATGGGGGGACCATATTTTGGGACAAAGTCATGTTTTTTTTGAAGAAAAATAGATACCTGTTTTCTGGAGCCGGACAATTTCTGGTGTGGATGCATTATACAACTCAAGATTCAATGAGGATTCCATGAGACAGTCTCAGGACAAATCCAATCCTAAGAATAGTGGCATTTTTTTTTCTCATATCTTTCTTGGGGTTCCTAACTCTCTCTCTCTCTCTATATATATTATCACTGTATGTATACATATATAATCATATACATATATAATCATATATATATATATACATACACTATATATATGATTAATATCACTGAACACCAACTGCGTTCGTTGACAGCTGCGCACAGTACAGCTGCATCCGTTTCTTGAGCCATACCATTGTGGCAAGTGCTTCATGCCTGTGGCAAGTGCTTCATGCCTGTGTCTTCCTTGCGCAGGGCCATGCTAATCTTCCTCAGGCCTTGCACTGTCCCTAAACAGTGGCAACATGTCCTAAAGATCGTTCAAAATGCCAGGTTTGTGCAGAAATTCTTATCCGCACTCCCCCTTCGGCCTAAGGCCGAACTACAGCGCACTAGGAGAGGAGAGAGCTGGGACGTACCAGCAAAAGATTCAGCCAAGCTACCCAAGCCCGGCCCTCAGAAGTTGGTCTTCAGCATATGGACCCTTCATGCATCCACCTCTTCAAAAGAGATGATGGAGCTGGCCACTTCATCATCATCTTGATCCCTTTTGCGGGAGTTTCGCCATCTCGTGATGCGTGGCGGATCGGTGCGGTTTACCGCAGACATCGCCGCCACTCCCCTCTCCGCTGCAGAGTCTGGTCGACCATACCTCACGGCAACTGCACTGCTACTTGAAGCTCGATGCCCCAAGGAAGCCGAGGAAGCTTGGTGCAGTGTTCCCACACCTTCATGATGGGCATAATTGGTTCCCAGCCCAAGTCGCGAGGAGGTAGGCCTCACTAGCTCAGGGTGCCGAGTCGGTAGTCCTTGATCGTTGTGTCCAAGTTCAAGGCGGTGTGGAACTTCATCCAAATGCTCATCCAAGGTGATGGGACCGTAAGAGGTCAAGCCACCATCTTCACCAGGCACTCGAGGAAGGAGACCAGCTGGGTTGTCTTCCAGCCTGGGACCCACATAGTTGGCAGGTGGATCTCCCAGCAACATATGGACATGCTGTCCAATGAAGACGGTAAGCCCGTCATCTTCTTCAGATTCCACTTGTTGGAGTTTGGCAGGAGATGGCCTGTCTCCACAATGCCTTCGTGGTCGCTCCATAGCAGAAGGATCCCGTTCTCCACCATCAGTATCAGCAGCTACATTCACCTCAGCCAAATGGAGTCCAGCATCATCAATGGGAAACACACTGTAGCCACGCCATTGGTTGGCACCACTAGTGGGCACCGCCCCCCAGCGATCATGAACCACCTCGCGGCGACCATCATCCAGAAAGTGCTTCACCGTGATGCGGGAGGGACCCAACTGCTTTCCAGGGTCGAGGGGAACATTCCGATGCAGAGGATGGAAAGGTCGGATCCTTGGTTTACTGTGTGCCCTCACCAAGTATTGATCTTCTTCTCGCTGGAGCCAATACCATTTGTCACGAGAGCCACCGAGTGGTTTCGAAAACACAGCCTCGTCCTCAACCAGCCGACTTCCGCTGGTAGTCAATGCTGGAGGAGGCTCGAACGCCCGAGCACCAATTGCTGGAGCTGCCATTGCTTTCAGCGAGGGGCGCGCGTCCGGTATGAGCCGGGAGCCCCAAGGGCTACTGTCAAACAGTTCTGACATTTCATTCTGTCGGCGAACTTCAGAGGTAGTGTTCAAGCCGGCCATAGTCAAGCCAAACCCAGAGCCAAACCCAGAGCCAAGCCCAGAGCCCATGACATGACCTACCTCGTCACCTTCACAGCCTTGGAGAACGGGTTCATGTTCCCTCGTTCCCTCGCTCCATTCGTTGTTTCTTTCTTGTGGGCCAGTGGCTCTTGATCTTTCTTGTTCGGGATCTTCAATTGTTTCTTGAAACATCTCATACAGATCATCACCATGATCAGGGTGAAACGAAATGTGGGAGGCTTGTTCCAAGCCTTCCACCAGCTCGCTGTGGTCCACCCGTTCAAGGACCGTGAGACTTTTGCAAAAATGGGAGACATCTGAGGCTGCTCGCTTCAAGTTATCCCAACCTTTACACAATGTTCCCTGTACACTCTTGATGGCCGAAGACCCTTCACAAAAACCGTTGACCGAACCACTCACATCGAGCGAACTTGAGCGCCGCGTCAGCTTGTACAACCAGACGACCAGAACCACGGCAAGCACTGCTACAGCCAGCATGAGTTCATCCCGATCAGGACCGACATCATAGTGCTCGGCAACTGCATGCAGAGTGCCAACCAGCATCCCGAACTTGGCGACCTTTACAAGATCTGTGCCAGGCTCCTTAGATGCTGTGCCGTGATGTACCTCAGTCTCCTCAGTAGCCAGGGGGGTCGCGCCGTACTCCCTCATTCTCATATACTCCCAAAACGCAATCAATTCAGCCCTTGAAATTCGGGGTTTGGTGAGAAAATCAGCTATCAAACCAGTACCCTTCAAATGACGAATCATCCAGCCACTGTTAGGATCATTCAGTTTCTCCTTCAAACAAGTGGACCTCAGCCGTAGATGGCGAGTACGCCACGGCCCGTCAGGTTTTGTCAAGATGCTGATGGCGCTGGTATTGTCGCCGCAAAGAAGTTTTTCGAAGGTGACATCCCCATGGATGACCCTTAACAGAGCTTCAACCGACTGGGCCATTGTAGTGGCCTCGGTATAGCCGAGGAGCTCTGATTCCGCTGTGGACATGGTCGCGAACGATTGACGCCCGCTCTCCCACTGGAGAGGACATCCTGCGTAGAGGATGACAACTCCTTGGAAGCTACGCCCTCCTTGGGGGGCGAAGCTTATGTCTGAGTATGCCTCAATCAGATGCGGATGTCTCTCAATTGGGAGAATGCCACCGGGTCCACGATCCTTAACGCATGGACCATACACCAAACCATGATTGGGGGTGGAAGCCAAATATTCCAGGACCCCTCGTCCAACTTGAAGTGCCCATTTGGGGTGATGACTAACCTGGCGACCAATCTGGCCCACTGAAAAGGAAATGTCCGGTCTACTGCGAACCGATAACCAGAGAAGCTCTCCGGCTATTCCTTGGGCAGCCTTGATATCACTTGGAGTGATGTCATTTTCCTCATGTTCAGGGACCCCAACCTTGGACATAGGAGCAACCCTTTTACCCGTGATACCATGACGTTCGAGTAATTCATGGGTATACGACGGCTGGGCAACATGGAGAAACCCTTCTTGGTCCCATCGCAGCTCGAACCCACAAAATCGCACCCAACCATTACATGTCACCTCTTCTGGAGAGGAAGTTGCCCACTCTTCCCGGAGTCTCCCCAAAAATCCCTTTCTCACATCTTCACAAGCAGCTACCAGAACATCATCCACGTACACTATCACATGTCCTACGCAGTCCAACATGTTACCCTTCCCATCATGAGTCCAAATCTTCCAAAGGTTCCCTTCGGGGGTTTGTTTGACCATGTATTGAATCCCCAAATGCGTCCACTTGAAGCCCTTCATGGTCCCATCCCGATGTCCAGCCCACAACGCCGGGCTGGTCTGGAAGCCGTACAGGGCGCGATGAACACGCCATCTCTCATCATGACTGCATATGCCCGCTTGGACAAGGATCTTTGGAGGGACTACTATTACTTCCCTGGTACCCTTTGGAGGTGGAGGTCGAGGAGCATGCAAAAACGCTGTCTTTATGTCGGTGAGAGTAATACCCCAGGACATCATTGCTGTGTGCCTCAGCACTGCCCGAATCATGGTTCCATCTGCTCCCGAAGCGTACAAGGCATTGGTGGGTTCTGATGATTCTTGAACCATATTCCCGCAAACAACACCACGACACTTTTTTCGCCCCCCATTTAACCCCGGTTTGACTGTGCAGACAAGTTTCCCAGGCACAAATTCAACTTGGCTCTCATCCAAGTCACCAAGTTTCACAGGTTGGATTGCCGATGTTTCATTAACCAAGCTGCCATATTCCGCTCTCATGGCGGGTTTCCAAGCTTCCAAGTCCCCTCGCACCACGTCCAAGGAGACAGTCATTGTCTGGAGCACTTCATCCGTTCCGGTGGGAGGTTGTTCACTCCCCCCAGCCTGCACTGCACAAAGTCGCAAACCACCACTCCCAGCTTCCTTATCCAAGGCACTGAGATCCCTTTCCAAAGCCAGCCGTTCGGACTGAAGAGTCTCCAGCCACCACCCCTGATGACCTCCTTCGTTCCTTCCAAGGGGCACGTGGTTCAGTGCATCTCGCACTGCATCCAAAAGACCAAGGTGCTGATCCAAGAAAGCATCATGAATTTGGATTCGCTTGACCTTCCTAAGGGCGATCCCACACTTGTTCATCCGGGCCCACTCTTCCGGTGGAACTTCAATGTTGGAATCATCCCCAATAATGTCCAACCCATCCCCATCTTCCCGAATTTTTTCATCATCAACGTTTTCATCATCCCCAACCGAGTTTTCACCATTCAAACCATCCACCAAACCCTCGCGCTCCCCCCCGGATTCCCGATCCGGCTCAGTGGGTGCTAGGCTTGGCTCATATTGTGATGTATCGGACGGCTCTGTGAGAAACCCAAAATCAACAGGTGGAAATGACAACCCTCGTGGTATACATGATTGAGGGGGTGGTTGTTTTCCATGGATACGGTAGGAAGGCTCGAGAATCATGGGTGGACGTGCATGTTCATGGAGAGCCAATGCGGCGTTGTCCGCATCTTCACATGGGACCACAGCTTCCCTAACATGTAGTACCTGACCCTCTTGAGTTCGTACTGACCAACCCTGGTTCATGACCGGGGAAGGACACAACAGGGTGGCTTCAACAAACGGAGGCGCTAATGGACCTCTACCGTGCCATCTCTTTCGTTTGACCAGGACATTGGCATGAAAGTCGATCATGGGAACCTGTGGGACCCCCAACCCTTCCAGCTGGTGCCGGAGACGATCCTCAGCAGCATGCCTGAGGGCTATCGGCCACGACGTCGCCGACAGTCCAGCTTGTCGCAGTAGGAGCCGGGTCCTCCTCTTCAACTGATTCACCTCGCTTTCCACATGTCCGTTGCTGGCAGGGTTATCTCCTCCAGTAGTGGTTTGTAGGAGACCCCTGGCGGCACACCATTTTTGGACCTGTTTGGATTCTACCAGTTCCCTGGCCTTGTCTGAGTGCAGTCTGTCTACGTACACCCCAAGATACCGGAATCTGGTGACCAATGAATTCAGGGCATGGATCACCTCGGCTTGTTGCCTCGAGGGCATGGGGAACACCAACGTTACGTGAGCAGCCGGAAGAGGTTCTCGACATTCTTCGCATTTTCGATCCAAGTCATGTTCGTCGCTCTTCACCTCCCTATCGGGCGCTGCCTCGACATTCTTTTCATCCATCCCTTGTCCATCACATGTTTCATCCATGAGAGGCAAGTCCTCTTCATCATAACCCTCCCCCCAATCCATACTTTCATCCACCATTTTTTGGGGTTCTTCCATGGGGACCAGAGGTTTACGAATTCCTTTGGGGACCTTTGGAACTAGAACAGTGGCGACCATAGCATATCTTACATGGCCCGACGTGGACTCATCTACTGCTTTAACCAATGGCACAACATCGACACCCATCGACCATGACGACTCGCCTCGACCCACTCTACGACGATGCGGCTTATCAGCCGCCATGTCGAGCACGCAGGCCCGACAGTCTCTCCTGAATGGCCGGTGTCCTTGCAGTATGTGCTGACGCCATTGATCCATGGAGAAGGCCTTTCTCAAGTGCTCTCCCCCGAGCCCATGTTCCTTGATCAAAGCCATGATGGCCACCCGAATGGCCTGCTTCAGGCCTGGTGCCCAGTCAGCCCAACTGGCTGTCTGCTGCAGCCGGGATCCAAGATCTGGGTTCAATGGTTCCCCTTTTGGTACCGTGCATCTTGCTTCATTAAGTTGATCCATGAATGGGAGGTTTGACATACATGTTGTTGGCTTTCTTTGAGTATGTCCGAAACGACCCTGATCAAAATGAATGAGAGTCATGCCATGTTCTTCCATGAATTGGGTAAGTTCAGGCCAGGACCAGTACGTGGGGGCATCATGTTCTTGCGCATACCGTGCAGGGTCTTCAGGGGATTCCATGAGAAACCCAACCAAGGGTCCCTCACTATTCCCTGCACCCTCATGCCTAGACCCCTCATAGGTCACACCACCAACCCGAGACTCCTCTGCCAACTGATGCAAGGCCAGCTGCTTGAGAACCAAGGCACTGTCATAGTCCGTCTTGGCTTGATCAGCCGGACTTAAATCCAAGAGGCCGTACCGTTGGTCCACCCGCCCCCGAAGGGGGGGCGGGCCCGGTTGGATGCTTCTGAGCCTGCTGATAGACCTACACGGAGGTCCACCTACTATGGCAATCACCCGACATGTCCGAACCAAGTGGCAAACGTACGACCAAACACTACAGTTATTGAGATCCATTTTGGGGTTTTCCTTGGGATCCAGGGTAACCACTTCAACACCACTAGGCCAACCCTTTCGCCATTCTTTCCCAGAGTCGCTATTCCCGGAAAACAAATGGATAATCAAACCCTTAGCATTGGCAAACCGGCGACGAAGCCTACGATTCCATGGCAAATCCTGACCTTGAGGGATGGAATCCTGACCAGCCATGTATTGGACCACCCTTGAAGGAACTTCGGGAAACCGTTGTGCCCACCCACTTCCTCAGAAACACTTTCACCAGCCAACCGTGGACCAAGGCGCTTGTTGCGTTCGTAGGCTTCCAAGTCATGAATCAAGGCCAGTGCATGAGTCTCTTTGACAACTGGACATCCGTTTCGCAACCAACATTTCATGTGACCAACAACATCATGGTAAATCAGACACCCCTTTGAATCCCACTTAATCCGATACCCAAGGTTCACTAACCCCCTTAACGGAACAATGGGTTCAACTGGTTGTGCAGACAACAAGGTTCCCGTTTCAACACACTGGTAGAGCTGCGCTGATCCGGCAGCCAGTTCTACAGTCACAGGGACTGCACACGCAATTTCCTCCGCAGACCCCTGGCGGAGTGCATTCGTTGCACCCCCATCCAAGAGACCGGTAGTGAAGCCATCCACAGCCGCCTTCTTCAAATTGATAGCCTTCACCGAAGGCCGCAGTGTTTTCATCAACACCGAAGCTTCTTGAATCAACGCTCCAACTTCCCCGAGTCCCTTAGAACCTAAGCTGCTTCCAGACTGCGGGGCGGCCGAAGTCACTGCAACTGGTGGTTCAGCCACATACGTCCCTGAAGAGCTAGCTGAAGGCTCACTGGAGGTCACGGGTTTCACTTTCTCGTTCTTTGAAGAGGTGTCTCCTTTTCCTGGAGATGCCTTAGCTACCTTTTTGCTGTTAGCCGTGTTACTACTGGCATGGGGGCAATCCTTCCGGGCATGACCGACACCACTACAGGTGAAGCACCTACCATCCTTTGAACTCAACATGGTGTGGGTAAACTTGCACCGGTCAGCCTTCCTACAGCCCCCCTCAGTACCCCAAAAACGGCAAACTTGGGTTGAAGTAACCGAATCCGCATTCACCGAGGAAGCCGTGACCTTGGGTTTACCATCTGTACCCCCATCTCCAGTACCCTTTGGTGGACTTGGTGGATTTGGTGGATTCCCCGTAGGACCCTGAAGAACCTTGACCACTGGTTTCTGCGGCTGACCCCTTTGGGAACCCTTGAGACCAATCTCACCACCATCGACCAGCAGCTGTTCAGCCTCTGCTTGCAGATGCTCGGAAAAGGTCCATACCATTTCAAACACCGGCTGCCGATCGACACCAAGTTGTTGCCGAACCATGTTCAACCGATACGCTATTTGGGGCGACTTCATGCTCAACCATTCATGGGGTTTGTGAAGGGCACCCATCAACACCATGGCATCTGGAAGAGTGATTCCTAACTCAGAGGCTCTCGTGACATTCCGCCTCCAAGTCCTAACCCACTCCAAGACTTCCTGGATGTTATCCCCACATTTCCCATCCGTGATACTGTTGAGAACCCGTGTTCTCTCCAAGGCTCCCCCAGGCTGGTACACGACCAGGAGTTTAAAAACCACCTGTTCAACCGTCAGACGCCGCGATGCAACCAAGTCGCTTTTGATGTGCTCCGGAATGGATTGCAAGAGCATCCCAAGGGCCCTTTTGGCCGTTCGTGGCCACCGTTGCGCGATAGGGTCCACCAGAGGGACCAATCTAAGTTTGGTGACCGGGTCTGCCTCCAACCACTCTCGGTAACACTTCTCAGCAGCACTCTTGATTAAATCCCACCATTGACTAGAGGAATACGACAAATCACCCATTTGTGAATCCAGAAGATTCCACCAGTCACCAAATTGAAGGGATGTTGCATGGGCATCCAACTTCGGTAGATCAAAAGTCCTCAGGTTTTCATTTGGATTCTCACCCTGGAAAAGACTCGATCCAAACCCTCCTAGGCTACCGCTGGGATGACCTGTTCCACCACCGACCGGACCGTTCCCAAAACCCGACATGCATGGCATTGGAGGCAACGGCGGGGGGGGAGGCGGAGGATATGAGGTTCCCCAAGCATTCAACATCGTGTCACAACTACCCACATGAACCCTTGGTGGCGACATGGGCGGTGGACCTGGAGGTGGCTTTGGGACATGCGTGTCATGTTCTTCCATGGCCGATGCAAAAGACCCTGAAGATGACTGTGGTTGTTGCTGACCCGTCATGTTTTTCAATCCGGCCAAAAACTTTTCCTCCGCCTCCCGGAGGCATCTCAACCGGAATAATTCAATGGGATCCATCACCACATCCTTTTGGGGGGTATTGGGTTGGGATCCGCCTTCACCTGACTTGCCAGCATCTCCACTCCCAACATTCATGGCTGGCCCGTATCCAGTTCCCGATCCATCCATGGACCCGCACTGAACCCCACGACGCTCTATTTCGTGACCCAACCTTTCGTACCCTCTACGGGCTGGTGACCAAAATGGATTCATTGGCGGTTCACTATTTAATCCCGGTGGGGGCTCAATAGGACCCAAGGTACTTGCCCCACCAAGGTTTCCCACAAGATCTCCCAACATACCCCCATGGGCTTCGGCAAACCCAGGAGACAAGTGTCGTGTCTTACCATCATCCAAGTTGCGATCGGGAACACCATTAGTTCCACCCAAGGCACCATCCAAGTTGCTAGATGCCCTCATACCGGCACCATCCAAGGATCTATCCAAGTTACCAGATGCCCTCATCCCGGCACCATCCAAGGATCTATCCAAGTTGCCAGATGCCCTCATCACGGCACCATCCGAGGATCTATCCAAGTTGCCAGACGCCCTCATCCCGGCACCAGCCAAGTCACTTCGGTTGGGTGCTTCAGTAGCACCTTCCAAGGCACGTGGAGGCACACCATCGGTGCCATCCAAGGGATGTTGAGACACACCAACGGTGCCATCCAAGGGACGTTGAGACACACCAGCGGTGCCATCCAAGGGACGTTGAGACACCCCAGTGGTGCCATCCAAGGGACGTTGAGACACCCCAGTGGTGCCATCCAAGGAACGTTCAGACACCGCAGTGGTGCCATCCAAGGGATGTTGAGAACCCAGCCTAGTTGCAACCTGATCACTCACCCTTTCACCAGATTCCCCATTCCTATCCTCCAACCCTGTATCATTCTCCGGAACAGGGGGTAGAGGACCAAAGCTTTCTGGTTGCCCCAATGGGCCATGATCTTGAAACCCTTGACCGGTTGGTCTTCCATCCATGGTTGGCACCCTGACACTTCGAACCCCAGGAGCTTCTGCTAGACCCGTAGATCCCGTCCCCATGCGATCGCCCAAGGCCAGAGAACCTTCCACACCACCAGCGGCTGCTCTAGCGCCAGAAATCATCTGCTCTAACGCTTCATCGGCCCCAATGGTTCCAGTCAGCCCCCTTCTCTCCTTTGCGCTTTCCCGTCGACGGTCCATGGTCATCTAACAGCACAGGGTTGGGCTCATAACCCACTGAACACCAACTGCGTTCGTTGACAGCTGCGCACAGTACAGCTGCATCCGTTTCTTGAGCCATACCATTGTGGCAAGTGCTTCATGCCTGTGGCAAGTGCTTCATGCCTGTGTCTTCCTTGCGCAGGGCCATGCTAATCTTCCTCAGGCCTTGCACTGTCCCTAAACAGTGGCAACATGTCCTAAAGATCGTTCAAAATGCCAGGTTTGTGCAGAAATTCTTATCCGCAAATATAAATATTAATTATATAATATCGTATATATATAATTCAAATTTTGAAGGGCCATTCCACGCCTGTGTTTATTTTTTATGAGGCCACAGCGGTTGGCGAGACCGCGCACTGCGGAGCGAGCCTCCGCGCTGGCGGCTCCTCGGTGATGTCACCACGGACACTCGTTTTTTTTTTTAGGGGGTATTGATGGGATATGAATGGGAGATGCAAAACCAAGTATATATATATAATATGTACAAATATATACTAGTATAGAATTTGGTAGTCTATTCATCCCATCCCCGGTTTTTTGAAATACCACGAATATATGAACGAAATACCAACAATATATGGAGCTCCAAATGAATATATAGATATATAGATCCAAAACACCACGAATTTTGGACCATCCCCCAATTGGAATGCTATGCACCATCCCATGGTGTAAAGCCAAACAAATCGAGTTTTCCTCAGCTAGACTCCTTGCACAAAGCATGGGACAATTTGGCTACGTGAAATGTTCGCCCAGCAATTCGGCATAGGAAAAACTGGGTACCCAATTTCAACTCCTCTTCCCAGGTGGTGTCATTTCCAGTGCCCACCTCAGTTAGGGGTCTGATGTTGAAATTTCAGGAGTCAGGTTTGTCACAAGATGACAGCCACCCACTTGTCTCAGTGGCTTCGCTCTCAACTTGTGGCATCCAAAATTTTGGTGGCCCATACATGATTGGATGGCAACAAAAATCGGGGAATGGTGAAGTCGGACCCGTGGGTTTACATCAGTGACCCAAGCAAATCACCGCAGTTATCAGAGGTCAAATGTCTGGACCAGTCCCAGAATGGGTCCGAGGCAAACTTTAGAGAAGACCACCCATTTTTGATGGTTGACACTTCTCACTCCCTGTGAACTCACCATTTTGCTTGGTTCAAATCAGCATTTTACTCCCAGTTCACCCAACTCTGATGGGAGGGTTCGCACATTTGCATGACATGGTAGGCCCGACTGCAGTTGAGAGCACCAGGGGAGGCCCGCAGGGGGTTGGGGCGATGAGCCTGCGACACTTGAGTGATGAGTGCCCTCATTCGCTTCCGTTTTTTTTGGTTCAAACAACACCTTTTGGTGGTTGAATAGCGATTAGCCACTAGCCGACAAAGAGGACAATATTGAACCAATACTCATGGGGGACCTGTCAGGAACCTTGGAAACACTTGTTCCAACCCTCGGCCGACGACTACTTGAAAAAGGGATCCGCTTGCAAGATCTGGCAGGCCCCAGGGCCCGTCGGTCCTTTCTCCGGCCCGGGCAGTCTGGTGTGGGGACCCAGCCATGTCAGCGGAATGCCCAAGGATGGCTCGGAAATATGGGAACTCTTGGTATGAACCATCCGATTTTAGGGGTATCGAATTTTGACCCATTCCCACATGATACCCATATGATGCAACATATTCACCCAGATGATTCATTCTGGACGATTTTTCCACGTGGACAGGTAGATGGACATCCCAAAGTAATGGCGAGGAACCACCCCGGCGATGTCAGGTTTTGCCCTTGGACACACAAGATGCAGTTGGCTTCTTAGTCTATGGCGCAGCTGGAGTGTTTTTTGCAGCTTTTTTTTGGCAAATCCGAGGTCATCTCTGAGATCAACAATAAACTCAACATGGGTATGGATCAATACCTATTAATATCATTTTTAGGGGGATGAACATCCATTTACCAGCTATTTTGATGTGAACTACAGGGGTACAAGGTTTTGACACACTGCCACATGACTTTGAGCCACTTGTTGATTGTCCTAATAGTATCTAATAGTCCCTTACCCACTGAAAGTTGGTTTCGTTTCCAGTGCTGAATTCTGCTGCGAATCTGTCCATTTTTGAGGTGAAAGAGTTGGTCTCCGCCTGTGCTGAAGGTAAGGCTGAGATCAACGATGGGACTTGCTGGTCGCTCAGAGGTTTGCAGCTGATCACTGGGAAAATAGGGGATATTTCCAAAGAAATAGCCATAAAAAATAGGGATAATGATCAGCAAAACCATTGGGTTTAGGGGTACACAACATTTTCAGACAAACCCACATCTAGGGACTCATCATCCTGACATTTCAAGCCAGGCGTCAGGTTTTTTGGCGCCTGATACTGGTCGCCAACCAGGCACCAGCATTGAAACAGTAGAGTCTGCTCAGAGATCTATTTGGTGGTTTCCATTTTAATGGGGGTACCTCCAAATCATCCATTTGAATAGGAGTGTCCCTTATAAACCATCAATTTTGGGGTACTGGCCACCATGGAGCCCCTGTGAATCACACCACCCAGGTCTCACCGCTTGGACCCTACCAGAGGGTCGGTCACCGGATCTGGAGCCCCTCACAGCACGAAGGTGTCCTTTAGGGGGATGACATGGGATGACCCGGTTGAGCCGTACTCAGGTGGCGTTTTAAGATGTGGCTATGGATCAATACCACCATTTTTAGGGGGGTGAACATCCATAAATCCCAGCTATTTTGATGTGAACTACAGGGGGATAGGGTTTTGACCCATCCCCATGTTTGTCGTTTTGAGTGCTTAGAAATTGGATAGCTATTAGAGTCCAAAAAATGTCCAAACTTGGTGATTTCTTTGGTATTCTAAATGCCCCCGGTGTTGAACAGTAATATTTGAGCCATGCGCAGGCCAGTAACTGGCTGATGTGGTGGTAAATACCTGATCCATTTAATCATGATAAGACTATGCATACACATGTATATAGCAGGCGAGCAAATGGCAGTGATATGTATATAGTACCCCAAAAAGAATCAAACAGATGGAAGAGTAGAATCCCATTGAATCCCACTAAAATAAAGTTCGAATGAACTTTTCTATCTATGTTGGGGATAGCTATATGTACATATATATATATGTATATATATATGTATCGAAGCCAGGATCGATCGAACCTTGGCTGTGGAGCCCATTGAGCTGGTCGCAGAACGTCAAGGCACGGGTGCATAGTTGGTATATCATCCGTATCATAAGTGGTGGTTAAGTGGTACTACATAGTCATATAGTACGTTATACATATAGTTGGTATATGATTCGCGTGTATAATATGTTGTATCTCGTTGGTAAAGTAAGTATATCAGTGGTGTATAGTTATATATAGGTGGAATATGATTGGTATAGAATTGGTGTACGATTGAAGATCCTAGTATGACCAATGACTCGAGATGAGAAAATTACGGCCAGGTGGATCACAGGAAGGACCCATCCGCTACGGAGAGGGCTTCCGATTGCGAGCAGCTGGTACTAAAGCTCTCTACTTAGGTGCGGATGGGAGGGCTCCGATTTTGCTGTATATTGTAGGATTTCTAGTTGGGATGAGAATTTGTCCTTTCCCAGAGCATCTTCACATTTTAAATTTGAGAGTGTTTGAGCACAAGCTGTTTGGCATTTTGTACCATGTGTTTCTTGAAATGCAGCAGAAGGAATCCCCATGAATCCCCCAATTGTAGAGGTGATCATTCATACCACCATGATAGCAACTTTTCAGTGAGAATGACTATAGAATGACCTCCCAAAATCATCTAAATCTAAAATCCTAGATTTTGAAATCATCAAGCATTAACACCATTTTTTAGACCATCTGCTAAGTCGAAACACACATTTTCATGCGCACAGAATCTGTTACGAAGCCGTTGTGGCTAGGTTTTGAAGGCCTCGGCAGCTGCTGGAAATCCGGGTCCGATCGCATTCCACCGAAGGGGACCCGCTTCTCTGCGCATGGCGGAGAGCTGGGGGTTCCTTGGCGCGCAGGGTGATGGCAGTTTTCGCACCAGACATGGGGAACCTCGGAAACTTTGGGTTGAAGAATCCTTGGCAAGATCGGAATGCATCGGACATTTTTCAGCCATATAGATCCATATAGTGATACACCATCTATCCATTTACTGCAAGAAATTGCTGGTTGATGTTCTCAGCTTGGTTGGTGATGACATGGGGTCATTGGGTCATTCCACTTGTGGTAGCCACCGTTGGTGGCTCACAAGACTCAGGCTCCTCTGCATTTTGGACGCCCAGTTTCATTGCGCAGAGTGTGCAATGCTGAGTGCCAGTTCAAACTGTGGTGCACCTGGACATTTGACCGCAGTCTTTAGTTACAGTAGCCTCTGATACCGGCAAGACCACAACAACGCCATGGAAAATTTGATCTTTTTTTGCACATGATTTTTTTTAGCCATTTTCCATGGGTTAGATTACCACATGGTACTATGATGTACTGCAATCTTGGGTCCCAGGTGATCCCAGGGCTAGATCTCTCTGAAGCTCAGGCTTTCGCCTCCGCCCTCGGAAGTGGATAGTGATCCTGAGTTCTCGGATGACGATGCAGAGAGGCCTCTGAGTTTGCGAAGACCAACCTGCTTCATGCAGGGACGGCTAATTATTTACATACATCATTCCAGATCCAACAACCCAGCCAAATGATGGTCTGAACATGTCAAAAGCTCCAATATAAAACATCCAGAAAGTGCCACATCCAATTACGTCCAACATCTCAACGGGTCAAAACGGTCAGAAAACTCACAAGATAAAACAACATCAAACAAGATATTTTAGTGATAGTTTTTAGTCTGAAACGGTTTGAGGTTTCATGTCTATCCATAGCCAGGCCGGACAGCGAGGAAAGCTCCAAGGAGATGGGAATTTCAGCCCAAGGTGACACGCCGATGGTCCAACATGGTCCTTGTTGGATGGTTAATAGATGTGAATAATCCCTTGTTGGATGGTTAATAAACGAATATAAATGATATTATACATGTTAAGAATCCATTGCTAGAGGTTGCTGGTTCCCCTCAAGCCCTTATTCTTTGGTGTCACCTTTTGGGGGCTGGTTCAATGCCGACAGGAGCTGAAGAGTACGACTTCATCGCCTTTGCTGCCAGAATCAGCTGGCTATGTCAAGGCCGGTTGAGGAAAGAGTGCTGGGTATCTTGATAAATATTGGCAGCCATCTGTGGGTTGTGAGCAAGGTCAGCACTGAAGTTTGGTGGATGTGAATTGGCTTCTTGATGTTGAAACATGTTGAAACAGTCCCAGAATTGGTTGATGACAGAGCTGTGGGAGGGGTACCGCTGACCTTTGGAAGTTTCAGACATCCAGGAAGCCTTGTACTCTCGCGCTGCAGACAAGGCTCGGAGCAGCACTTTTCGGCTGTGAACATTTGGTGGTGATCAAGCATTTCTATTCAAGTATGAACCAACCGGGTGGAGCATTCTGTATATTCTGTGTAGATTTTTTCGCGATGTCCCCAATTCTTCATCAGGATTGGTCCGAGAATGCGGGAAAACCCCCGTTGAATGGCCTGTTTAATGGGGAAGATTATGATCAACCACGAAATTTTCGGCTATGATCAACGACAATCCCAGGTGGATGGAGCCGTCCTGGTGGCGTTTCTGCCCCTCTCGCTGGAATAGCTGGGCGTTCGCAGCACGTGGATTCACCTTGTACATATGCAGATGCGCCAGACTCCCTTGGTCGGTCCAAAGGAAAAGTGGGGGCTTAATGTTGGTGAAGCAATAATGAACCATCCAGATTTTGATGGTTTATACTGGTTTATACTGGTTTATACTGATCTATACTGGTTTACACTACATTTAACGGTAAATTTTGAGTGGATCCTATTGCTTTGCTAAGATTTATAGTGAACTGCAGCTTGTAGGTGATGCAGCACAACACGTCGGTGTAAGTTGGTTGTGCCAAGCCGTGAAGGTACCCTTGGGAAGAGCACTATGACTGGGGCGGCTACATTTCCGGTCAGGATCGGGGTATGTCTTGGGAGGTTTTTCGTGATGGGCAGGAAGACTGTTCTGTTGGATTGGTGATTGGTGATTCATCATATTTTGGGATGAAAAATTGGTAATGATTTTTCATCCCCAAAGGTTGGAGGATGAGAATTGACCCAGAGTAGAGAAAATGCCAGAGGAGCATGACGTTCAACTCCTTCAGCAAGGCATTCAAGTGAGTGCCCCAGTCACGGCTTGGTTCATGGCTACTGTGAATTACACATGTTGACTGACGCACTTGGATTGTTGGGTGTTTTGATATGATTCTATGAGTGATGTGTGTGTATATATGTAAATATGTGTATATATATATACAGATACACATTACAAATACATCATGATATGATGTATTTGTATAGTAAATATATACTTATAGAATCTTATAGACACATGAAGTTAGATGTACATGAACATTTCATTTTTTCAATAGATTGATTGTCGAAAGGTTGGATGATGTATTGTTATGTGGGATCCAAGAAACATGAGAGATCACAATAAATCTACCAACATTGTGGACACCCTCTCAATGGTTGGTAGAGAAGGTATGTAGAGATTCAACCAGTGGTATGAATTACCGACTTCCATCAAACATACTGTTAATACAACCGGTGTTATTGGCTCACTTCTGGATATAAGACCCAATTTGCAAAATCGATATATTTTGAGAGTATGAGCTTGGATAGTCGTGGAAAGAGCAATTTGAAGCGTTTTGACGTACTCCTTCCGAACGTTTTGAGGATACCACTGGTGAAACGCAGTTTTTCAGTCATATCCTACCATGTCATATCATATCGTATCATATCATATCACATATACTGGTACTACATATACAATGTATATTACATACATTACACATATTACATATTACACATATCATGTATTTTACATATATTACATACTACATATATTACACACACATATTACACATACATTACACATATATTACACATATATTACACATATATTACACATATATTACACATACTAATACATCACACATATTGCATACACTATATACAATATATATATATACACATATTACACATAATTATATTATATCATATCATTTTACATCATGTTATATCATAGTATATTGTATCATATTATATCATATGATATTGTATCATATGATATCATATGATATCAGAACATATAATCATCTATACAATATACTATATATCACATATAATAAGTCATATATCATATATCACATCAGACATCATATATCATATGTAATATCATATCATATATTTCATACTTTCCCTCTGGATATTTATTATACCATGCGGACTCAAAAAAACCATGGTACGGTGTGTTTCCAAGTTTTCGAGGTCTGGATGGATCTATTTGAGCATCACTGGGCATGAGTTGGCAGCATACTCCCTGAGGGTTGGGAACTCACGGATCTTTGCAGGGTTGGTGGCCGCTTTTTAAACAAAATCTCCAATTTTTCTGGGCAAATTTCATGGTTGGGCCAGATTTCTGTTGAAACCCAGTGAATCTCCGCCTGTTTTTGACAGCTGCCCTGTTTTTGTCCTTCGATTTGCCGTACTCTCTTGGTTCTCTTCTTGGTGAAGACTTTTCCGGAATGATATTGGTCTCTTCGGAGACAGCTACTTCCCCCTGTCGATCCTTTGCGACGAGGTCAGATGGGATAGCGAGGCAGTGCAACTGAAGGCAGGATGTGAAGTGGAAGCCATGAGAAGCAGAAAGACTTTTGCATGATTTTAATGGTTAGACCATGGTTCATTTTTTTTGTAAAAATCACCATCTAACTACACAAGGGGGCAACTATGGCAATTCTATGGCCATTGTCGGGGGCATTGTCATAGCATTTGTGGTTGTTGTTTCCTAATACAGTAAAAAATACTTGCCCACCAGCCGGATTTAACTGAAGTGAAACTCCCTGGAATTTCGCCAAATTGATGGCACGGAGTTCCTGATAAAATTTCTCTATCAAGATCATATCAGAATCACAGGTCAACCACTATCATATTCTCACTATAATCTATTAGATAGTGGTTGAATAGTGATCTATATACTCTTAACCACTGCAATAAAAGCGATTTTAAAGTTCCGCGAAAGTGGTTATTTTCCCGCCAAACAGTTTAAAACAGTGGTTCACTTCTCACTGTGAAAATAGAGGTTGATCATTTTTGAGTACCCAAATAATCAAAATTTGTGGACTTATACAACCATTACTTAACCACACCAACTGTGAACAAACATCTCTTGAATCACTCTTCAAACGCCGAAGATATTTCAACTCCGACAGTTTGGAATCATGAGTTGGGTTTACAAGCTCATCTACAGTTGTAATCACAACCCAACAGTTCATCATAGTTCATCTACGATTGCAGGATGGCGTCCCCGAAAAGGGCCGCGTGGCGGCTGGGACTGTGCGCTGGTTCTCCTTCGCCACCCATCTGCTGCCCGTGAGGGGCCCTAACATGGTGTTTTTTTTTTGTTACTGCGGAAACTGCAGTTCCAAACCGTGGGGAAGGAAGGTTTTTGCCCTCATTTTTCAGATACACGATATGATATAAATGATATATATATATATATATGTATATATATATAGATATGATGTATGACCATATATGATAATCTGTCTATTCTGATATATATATATATCATTATATATCCATACGTAAAGTGCATCCGTGGCCTATCCGTTCATCCCAATGAACTTCGAGCCATTTCGCCAGGAGCCAAGAGCCATTTCACTTCGAGCACAAGCAGTTGCTGAGAGCCCCAGGATTCACTGGATCGGAGGGAATGATATAGACAGTATTGATATGTATTCATATACTACACATAATATACTGGCATACGATTCACATAGAATCAATGAGAGGAACATCAATATAAATGCAGACATAAAGAAACACATGTGTGTGAACACACATATATATATATTACTCAGCATGAAAGCATGGTTGGTTGGGTAGGTGTCTTCATGTTGTCTGAAACAGTAGGCGTATACGTGGGCCTTGATGCCAATTTTGGCTCAAGGTCCCTCCCTGAACCCCACTGCGGGGGGAGGGGGGGAGGGTCCAAGTGTGGCTTGAACCCTCTCCATTCTTTTTCTCCTATCGTGGAGGGGTGATATGAGTCTTGACTCCTGTAATAGTCTTGGACTGTCTCAGATGAGATAAGGTTTTTACAACCTAACCATCTGTTACACATTAGGTATAGGCTCTAACACGTTTCCTTGGCCTATTTGGTAGGTTTGTAAACGGTTTGAATACCCTTAACTTCCCCTTAACTGGGAATTTGTATCCGCTTAACTGGGGTTTTGTATCCCCTTAACTTTGGGGTTTTGTATCCCCTTAACTGGGCTTTTGTATCCCATTAACTGGGGTTTTGTATCCCCTTAACTTTGGGGTTTGTATCCCCTTAATTGGGGTGTTTGTTTACCCTTAACCGGGGCGTTTGTTTAGCTGATAAACGGTGAAGTGTAGCCTTGAAAATGGGACAATTCTATACAGAGTTACGTTTTTGGTTTACACATGGCTTAGTACACAATTCATATGATGGTTCATTTTCTGGTTTTGTTGAAGTGGGGCGGGGAGAACGTGGAGATTCTCCAAGCACCAATGTGGTAGCACGGGAGGAACTGGACGCTGGTGACATGGGAGACATCGGCATGACAATCACCGGGGGGATAGCCTAGAAGAACTGACAAATTTGATTGCAAAATGCTTCTGGATCATCACAAAGAAAGTTCAACCAGCTAGTGGCTACTATGATTGAAGTCGACAGGTTCCAACAGTGCTTTGAAAGTGACAACTCTTTCTCAGTACGTGTCAGATCAAATCATCCAACCAAAAGAACGATTCAAAGGATTATGTCAACAAAATAAGCCGAGTAGAAATCATTTGAAGTCATTGACAAATCTTTGATCTAACAATGATACAAGTCAAAATTGTTTGAGAATGCTAGAATGTCAGGATGTCCTACAAAAACTTCTTGGAAAATTGTCCCGGAGATCAACAAACATTGAATCTTAACATACCATGACTAACCTTGGGCTCGACCAAACTTGTGTCCAAAGTATGGGAAACAAATGACCAAATTTTGGGTCCGTTTGTCCCGTTTTCTATCCCCTTAGCCAAGGGGATACAAAACGGGACAAACGGACCTAAAATTTGGCCATTTGGGGGACCTTTTTGAGACCTTTTTGGGGACTTTTCTTGGGGCTAGGATCCATCACGAATCAAATCACATCGAATAGTTGATAATACAAATTTAAATATGATTCATATTCATATTTATTTCTATGATTTGATATGATTGATGATATGATGGTATGATATGATAAATGATAATGATTTGAATCATGATGTGACATGATATGATTTGATAGAATATGATTCTGATGATATGACAATGATATGATCTGATCGGATGTGATTTGATATGATTTGATAATGATATAATTTGATTGATATGATATATGATATATGATATATTTAGGGTTTGTATCCCCTAATTCGTCTTGATTACCCAACACTTGGGGTCCATGGTCCCTAATCGTCCAATGGCAAAATCTAGCGGGGTTTACATGATGTTGGCACGGGATACTAATAAATTGGATTGTTGCACTCAATTCAACTTGGATTGATGACCCAAACAATGAATTAAATAGTGAATGATACCACTCTTAAATGATGGAAATCAAGCAACACTACAACCA